TTTATTAACCGCCATAATGGTTCAAAAATCAAAAGTACTCGAATGGTCGAATGGTATCAAAGAATAATTCTTTTCTAGAAAAATTGTTTGCGCGCATGGTAGAGAATTTGTTTATTAAATTCGTTCATCATACTAAAGTCTATACTTTATACGACTGTATTTGTTATTTCCATGAACCAGAAACTACAGTCCACAATACAATAGTGTCAATAGGTTTATAATAAACCTCTTTATCATAAATTATGTATACCGAGTTCATTTTTAGCCATGGAAATAGTAAAAAGTATTGCACAAAATATACAATATGTTTAGATTTACTGATTTATATACCGATTAGATGAAATATAAATTACAAATAATGATATAGGTACCTGGCGGAAACAATTAAAAATTTGTTTACATACAGCATTTTTATCTGTGATTCATGAACCATAACTAGTTTTAGTTAAATATTAGTAAAATGGCATATTTTAAGATATACTAACATTTTGAATTCATTCTTAACTTGGAGAAAGAAAACTTTAAAATATAAAAATAATTTTTCATTTGATACTTATTCATATAGGTCGTTATCATATTTTATTGCTATCAATATTTTAATTATCTATGTTATGATGTATCTATCGATGTTATCTACATCATGCATGTAACGTGGCGGCGGCATTACATTATTATCAATCACACTATCTCGTATTCTCGTGTATTTGGGTAGTGGAGGTTTTCTAAACCATTAAATCATTTTGTTAATGAAATCCTTTAAAAATCATAGTGATAATTCGAAAGTTGCCAACGTGTTTCGTGCTAATACAGTGTAAAATTAATTTAACATCTAATTCAATCCGTGGTCATTTTTGCGTTTCAAGATTGGTCGACAAAAAGCTCGTGTTTTCCACTCCAACAGCAACAACTGATTCTAGACTTGTAAATCAAAATAGTGTTAACGCCATCATGTCAAGCCAAATCTTGACCACCGAAAACAATAAAGAAAACGTGCCTGAAAATGAAGAAAAGAAAATTCCTATATTTTCTGTAGAGAGTATCCTTTTTTTTAAATTTTTTATTCCTACATAATAATTTTTAATCGGTTGGTATTTATAATATTTTATCAGTGTTGAAATTGTATTGAGATGCACTGTTTTCCAAAAAAAAACTATTATTTATTTGTAGAACAGATTGTTGGGAATAAAGCGATTTTAATGCTTTTTGCTCTAATATTTTTTATTTTATCTGTTCTATAATTATAATTATAGTTTAACTCAATACCAACAAATTATTGTTAATATACTATAGTATGGTTCATACATTATAGGTATATTATATAATCTATAAACTTTGTATATTGAAGATAATGGAAATTAAAATACACTATATACTATTATTATACTATTTACTATTAAATCATTGTGTATGTAGAAATTTCAATGGGGAGTCCGAACCCGAAATCCCCCCCCTTGGGTACGCCTTTGCTCTAAAGTAACAATCATGTTTATTTATTCCTTAATAATATTTTAACAGTATTAAAGATTATTAAAGAAGCTCAGCAGCAACATGGCTTGAGGCATAATGATTATCAAAGATATAGGTAAACATGAATAATTATCTTGTGTGTATTACAGAAATTAAAATATTTATTTTTAATTTATAGAGGTTATTGCTCCAGGCGTATCAGACGCTTACGTAAAGTTATGCATTTACAACAAGGTGATCGAAGACATTTTCGTAAAAAAAATATCACAGAAGCTAATCTTACTGATGAAAGGTAAAATCATACGTTTACATATAAATAATAGACTGTATAATTTTTTTTTTGTAATTAATATAGAGCGGTATACATTCCATTGATGTTAGCTGAGAGAGCTTGGAGTTATGCAATGCAGCTTCGAGTTGAAGCTAATACTGAACCCAGAAAAAAATTTCATTTGGTGGGTAGATTAAGAAAAGCTGCTAGTTACGCCTTACAACTTCAAAAACTTTGTGAGGTATATCATATTCTTTAAAAAATTTAAAATTTAATATATTAACAATTAAAATGTAAGCTTTTTTATGTTATATTTATTAAATTATAGTGCTTAATTTATTTTTTAAAAAATAATTTTTAGTCAGACATATTTGATGCTCGTACTCAATTAGAAACTCAAGCTTATGTAGCATGGTGTGAGGGAATGTTGCAATTTGAGTTACAAGAATGGAAGCCAGCTATTGAAAATTTAAAAAAAGCCCAGTAAGTATAAATACATTAGAAATTAGAAATTCCATACTACTATCACTGAAGGGACTGGAAATAATAACCGCTATTTAGAAGTACCTATGCCCACATTAAGGAATCCTCTGTATTTTATTAATTTTTACAAGATTTTTTTTTTAAATATTATGTGGATTTTCTTTTAGAATGATCTATGAGAAATTGGCATCTGCTTTAAATGAAGAAGATGCTATTATATATAGAAATCGTTATGAAGAATTGGAACCAAGCTTGCGCTTCTGTGCCTATAACATTGGCAATGAAACTGATGTTAATCAATTATTACACTTACGTAATCAAGCTCAAGGGGATTTATTAGTCACATTAGATGTCAGTTTATATGATTTACAAATAGATAATAAATTATATTTATTTTAATGTTCATAAATATACTTCGTATTTGTTTAGACTTTAATGGCACAGACTAGAGATTCATTAAGTGAAGTTACTTGGAGAAATCGGACAGTGCCTGTTAAAAATGCTCGTGTTAGAACTTTCTTACTTGCTAATCGAGATTTCAATATTTTGCTGGATAAATGCACATCTTTAGCTGAAAAAAGTGATTCATTAGAACAACATTTGATGGATTGCAAAGATGCTATGCTTGCAATAAGGGATGATATAAAAACCGAACAGGTTAAAAAATATTTTTAATGCTCAGTTTAATAAGGCATTTAGAAGAATAAATTATGCAAATTATAATTTTGGTTATAGAAAATGGATGGTTCTTCAACATCTTCATTACAATATCTTCATACTTACTTGTCATTTATTCGTTTGGAAAGAACAATACAGCGTAATTTGTTATTGATTGAAAGTGCATTAGATAACGATGGAAAACAAGGAACAATTGTAAATTTTTTATTGCTTTTAAATTTTTATTATTTTTAATTTATCATTGTAATATAGGGAAGCAAGAAACTACAAGATATAACTAGATTGTATGAGATTTTGATCCAGAATATTTTGGAGGAACAACAATTACCTGGCTTAGAAGACGATGCAGAATTCCAAGAAAATTTAAATATCAAGGCAAAAGCTTATAAAGCATTTAGGTAAATTAATAACTCAATATTGTATTACATTTTTTATCACTTTATTTTTTAGATGCTACTATATTGGTCAAAGTTTAAGTACTCTGCATCGTTGGAGGGATACCATGGCTATGTATGAACGTGCATTGCTTCATGCATCTTCTGCTATTAATGAAGTGGATGATGATTTGAAGATTCGTTTAAGTAATTTGGTGAATACAATAGAGTCATCTAAATACTGTGCTCATGCTCAAAGTGTTCTCGAACAAGATAATGAAGAGGAGTTAGATAGCTTGAAGAATGCTAAATTGCAAAAAGTAGTTTTACTTATTTTTTGTCCAAGAATCTCTTAAAAAAATATTTTATTTTATAAATTTCAGCTACCTTTAACAAAACGTTTGGAAGAATATTACGAAGATTCAAGTATATTGAGTAAAGATCCTAATATAATAAAAATACCACCTGAAATGGAAGAAATACCATGCAAGCCATTATTCTTTGATGTTGTATTAAATGATGTAAGACTCCCAGCTTTTAAAAAACAACAGGCTGTTTCTGATCCAGCTAATAAAGAAGGTATTTCTGGGTTTGTTAAAGGTCTTTGGGGCTGGGGTGGAAAAAAATAAATATGTATGTAAATTTCAACTTTTTTACCCTTAAAACATGAATAAATATTATATATTATTCAAACAATTTATCTTTTCATTATAAATTAGATATAAGTTCATAGGTGCAACTAGGGGGAAGGGCTAAGCTCTTCTAGTATTTCTTCTATTTCAAAAAACCAATTTTATTTCAACAAATTAATTTGTTGTTTTAATTGCTAGGAGGAACTAGGTTCCTCCACCATTTTTACCTTAACTGTGCCTATGTATAAACTGATGGTTTTAAAAAAAATATATATATATATAGTATACACCGTTTAAATAATTAATATATTTTTTCTATATTGTGTACAATATAATATTCAACTACTTACAATGGTAGTTTTTCATTTTATAGATGATACAAATCTTTAACATTAAGAAAAACAAATTTATAATCTCTAATTACATAATTATTTACAAACGTATAGGGTAAGGTAATGGAATTATGTTGAGTATAATACACTCGCATATTGTTATTAGTTTATAAGCGATAGTAATATTGCAAGACATGTTAAACTGAATATAAATATGTACACAAATGCGTATATGTGTATATATATTTATATTATACATATTAAAGTAAATAAATATAAATTGGCCATATGCAGTTGTGTTAAAACATTTTTTAATGACTAACATGTTTGCTGTCCACTTTTATCTCTTTTTGCAGCATGACTCCTGGCATGCTTCCTTAAGTGATCCTTTCTGTAAAATGCTCTGCCGCATTCTATGCAAGCATGTCTTTTCTCACCTGTATGCACTACTTTATGGAGAGTAAGCTGTTCTTTGCGTTTGAACGCTTTACCACAAACGGTACACGCAAATGGTCTTTCGGAACTATGGCTCTGCCTGTGTCTTGTCAAATGATCCTTACGTTTAAGTCCTGCACCACAAATGTCACAAACAAATCGCCGTTCGGTTGCGTGGCTGCTGAGATGTTCTTCCAGCAAATGTTTGTCAAGGTATTCCGCTTGACACTCGGGACATCCAAACATAGTTGTTCCGTCTGCACAGTTAGTTATTCTTATCTGGCCAGGCTTAGGTTTGAACTGTGGAGCTGTCAGAGAATAACAATTAGTATTTACTTGTTTTTCAGCCTTTTTCCTCTTTTTAGGCTTTGGTTCTTCCTTATCTTTGATACTTTCCCCCGAATATTTCAGGAAATGATGCAAAGTAAGTGTGGCCGGCAAATGAGACAGGTAGTCGGCTACTGTTGACCCTGGCGCAGCAATACTCTGCCACGACGGTGGCATTCCGTTGGGCGGAGATACTTCCCCGTCGTTAGAGTATTGTTGCGACCCGCCGTTACTTCCGGTCAAGTGTATGCCACCGATACCGGATAAGTCCTGGTCTATTTGAAGGGGCCCAGAAGCGAAATGGGTGCCTATCATGGCGAAGTCCATTTGTTGGAGTATGTCGCTTGAACGAAACGTCGAAGTCATGGTGGTGATAGATTGTGCCGCAACAACGGTTGCCTACGGTATATTTCGAATGGTAACTATATTACGTTATAAACGATTAACCACTTTGGAGACGAGATGAGAAGTGACACAAAATATACTAAATTTAGCCTGTATAGCTATGAAATTAAAAAGCCCGATACAAAATGGCAGCGTCAGCTTATAATCAATATAGCGTTAAACGTAAACATATTTTTCCATGAACAAAACATTGGCGCCCTTTCAAACTACCCTTAATTCGTTTACGCGCCAAACCCCGTATCCACGGTCACTCGGCTTGGAAAACCAACAAGTTCGAGTTTACTGTTGAAAAATAATAATGACCACGAAAACCAGGCGCGTAGCTAAGTATTTTAAAAGGGGTGTGTTATTTAAAATTAATCGACAAAATTATATACAACAAAATAATAACTTTACGTATACTCTATTGTACAAGCTTACAAATACTTAAGTATATTATACATGAATATCTATTCATGTGTATTATATTAATGTATGAGAAAGTGTTTGAATATTTTATTAAAATGTCAAATGGACATTTTGTTTTTTACATATATTTTAAATCGTATATGAAACGATACAAAATCACGGCTTTAGTTTATTAGATAAAACAGTGTAATGGAAACCTGGTCCCGACATTACATTACCGTTATCGTTATATGTATAAATTTCGTCATGATAAATACGTGTTCATCACGGTTCATGATGAATTTTTATACCTTTATAAGACTTAAGTATAACATACTCAAGGGGGGGGTGTCACTATACCTGGATTTGCGCCTGACGAAAACCGTTTACTACGCTACTTGTAGACGACTGATTGTATGCACGCCGAATAAACTAGCCCTCGACTCGTGCACCATAAATACGGATCCATTTTAATAACTCGTTCCATGTAAAGACGTTAAGTTTATCAAAAATATTTTGTAAGCCTACTTAATCCATGCAACATAATTGCACAACCATAATAATGTGACAGTTAATACGTTTGGAAAGGAAGTTTTATATTAACATTTCTTGACTTACGCGTGACCGATTCACATTTGAGGCACAAGAGTTATAGTACTACATCGACAAGCAAATTAAATTAAATTCTGATAACTACATAACGTAGTAATTGAGCTATATTATAAAACTAGTTTTAAAATGTTGATGATAATTTCCATTGGAGTACAACCAGGGCCGTATTTAGGGAGAGCTACAGGGTGCTGTTGCCCCGGGCAGCTGAATATAAGAGGGTGGCTAATTTTTTATATTTTCAATATTTAATGATCTAATATTTTTGAAGTAAAACTTCTTTACAAAATAAAAAGTGTATCTCAAAAAAAAAATATATAAATCGCCAATCACAGCGTCACGACGACACACACACATACTCGATAATGGTCGAGTACTGTCGATAGATCCAAAGATTTACAAACAGTCTATCCTTATGTTGACATTGTACTTAGAATGTTTTTGTGACACCAGCAATGAATTGTTCTACAGAAAGATCTTTTTCAACCGCAGAAATTTGTATTTGGTATTATGAAGTGTTATTTATTGTTGCCCCCTGGTGTCATATTTCTAAATACGTCCCTGAGTACAATACACATGATAGGTACAAACGACCACTAAAGTGGATAAAAAAAATTTAAAAAAAAAAACCGTTAAACCTCCTAAATTTTTACAGACTGTAACTATCAATTAAATGAATCCGCCAATTGTAATATTTGGATTAATTTAACACTCGTCCTACATTCGACATCACTAAGATTTTAAGAAAATCAACACTGTCGAAAAGAGCTATTTTCAAAAGCATTACTCATTGTCCTTCGGTCTGTGCATTTGCATGAGTTGGACATCACTTAAAGACAGTGTCAGAGCAAATAAAAAATGTGGGGCTCTCATTCGTATCTTATACATTACATTGCCATTCTAAATTAATTATAGATTTAATTCAAAATATAATTTTGTCCATTGATTTTTTAAACAAACAACTACTGTACAATAGTTTGGTATTAAATTATTTACATAAAAAATAAACTGATCATCTTAATCATTATTATAAAAACTCAAAATACAAATATTACTAATAATTACTTTTACTAAACAAATTTATAATAACTATTAGGTAAGTAATAATTTTAATTTATAAAAGAACTTTAAAAAATAAATGTATACTGAACAATTTATATTTTAAATACAGAATATATTGTTAAAATAAAATATTGTCAATTATGAATTTTAATTCTTTAATTTTTCTAGTTTTTTTTGGATGGAAATTTACTTATATCTTCATAATTTAGTTGTTCTGAAAGTTCTTTTTCTATACAAATTGTAGCAAGTCCAATAAATCTTTGTTGTGACATGGTACTTCGAAAATATGTTTTAATAAGTTTTAATTTAGAAAATGTTCTCTTTGCTCCAGCTGACGTAATAGGAATTGATAACATAATTCGAAATGCAATATTCAAGTTGGGAAATGTGTTCATTTTTTTTTTATTTCAGATGGATCACTATTATTATATTACACCCATTAGCTCCCATGAAATTAAATATAATCAATAGTATCCAAATGTATGAATCAATGATAAATTAATACTCTAAACCTACTAGTTATTTTGAACACAATTTAATAGATTATATAACATTAATAGTTGTTTTTGGTCTGTACCCAGTGTTTTGTTTCGTACAGATATGATAAAAAATTAAATAACTAATGCATGTTGATATACATCCATTTGAAAAATAAATTTTGTATTTATTTAGTAATAACGAAACAATTTTTTAAACTAGATGCAAAATCGAGATACATTTTAAATTAATATATGATATGAAAACATTAGGACCCAATGCCTATAATTTTCAGGTATAAAAGCAGTAATAATGTTGACATCAAAATAGGAGTACAATTTGCAAGGCAAGAGAAAATTATAAAAAAAATATTTTTTAAGTATAATTTGGTATAAGTATATAAAAAAAGAAATAAGTAATAAGTCACTTAAACTGTCAATAAACACACAAATAACATGCATTTATTTTTATTTGTATAAATAAAACTAAAACAAAGAAATATATGTTAATCATTGATAATAAATGCATGTATTATTCAAAACCGTTTAACCAAAAATATTAAGACAAAATAATATAATGTAAACTGAACTAAATAAAAATGAATTAACCTAGCCCATACAACCAACAATATTAATGCTTTATTATTTTTATATAATACAAAACATTCCTTACACATAAGTATAAATGTTAACATAAATAATATAAAAGTGATCGTAGTTAATAACATCAAACTTTACTGAAATTCAATTAAAATATAGGTCACTTTGTCCTTCTTTATATGGTTAACAAAAATAGCTGTACAAAAATTCATATTAAGTAAAAAAAATATTGTCATTTTTGTTTAAACACTTATAGATCTAGATGATGATATGCACCTCTATTTACATTGTAACTTATCACATAGTTAATATTAAAAATTACAGAACATTTTACGTAGATTCGTAATAAGTTAATTACAATATTTTTTCATAATTTTTTTTTTTTTTGGTTTAGACAATTTAATTGACAAAATAACAAAAACAAAAAATAATCTTAACACAAAATAACGGTTTTCATTATGCTAGATTATAATTATCTAACTTAGAGTAAACATAACTAAGCTAAAATTTTATTCTTTTACCCTCAAATTAAATTAATATTATTGCTAGTTCTAAAATCATAGTATACATTGTTTATAAATATGCAGATTATGTATACATACATATATTCATATATATATATATATATATATATATATATGTATATATAACCTAAAACTTATCACATAATCAATATCTGATGTCTTAAGACAATACAGTGAAAAAGCCATAGACATAAATTAATTTTAATTTCTTTGTATCACAGTGCTTACTTAAAAAAAAAAAATAAAAATAATTATAATGTAGCAGACATTTAAAAAAGCATTAATTTTATTGTATTTGGTAATAAAATAATTGTTATTTACTTGTTTGTAAGTTACAATAATTTTAAGATCTTAACTGACACAATATGAATTGTTTAAATGTAAAACGGCCGTCCCTGTCAAAGAATGTGATTAAAAAAAATTTAAATATTAAGTAATCTTATATACAATTTAGTAACATAAAAACTTATCAAACTATCAAGCATTAATAGGAAATTGACATATTCATGGTTATAGAAATTTAAAAACATATTTTATTGTTTTATAAATTGTTTAATTAAAATATAGAATGGGTTACATAATTATTAAAATATTTGTTAACAAACTAAATTACCATAATATTAAATTTTATACATATAAATTTTAATAATAAAATAACAAACAATAAAATGTTTAGTAAAAAATAAAAATAACATGTTTACACAATATTTCCAGCAACAATAAAGAATTTTAGAAATATATATATTTGTAAAAAATAAAATAGACTATAAAAGATTTTATAGAATAATATCTCTAAGTCATTAAGATTTTTCAAAATTTAAAAAAATAGAAAATATATAATCAATAGTACACCAACAGTAGTTTTCTATGATCTTGATTTATTATTGAAATTTAAATATCAATAAATGTGATTATTAAAGGTTTCATTTTTTCATTTGGATAACAATATCATGTCCGCAACAAATAAAAGGTTTGGTAAAAATTTTATTTTCACTCAATTGAAAAGGGATCAATGTTCTTCTCTCCCCACAATCCTCTATTTAACAAATCAAATAATTTAGAATTCAGTTAAAATACCTAATAATTATATGAAATATTTAATGATTTTAAAATTATATTGTTTGGCAATTTAAAATATTAAAACAATTACACAATTCACAAATATCCTCTAGGTTAGTAAAAATTGATACTTATTTTTTTTTTGTCAATGATTGGTTATAATATCTCACCACAGTAAAATGCTTCATACAAGCTACACAGTTATTGTACAGTTATTATACTACTTACTTTTATTATTTAAATGTAATTTATGTGCTCATTGTTAAAATATAAAGTGAATATTTTTAAAAGTGTAAAAAAATATATGTCTAAAATAATATATATTGATTTTAGTTTAAATGACTTTTATGAAATAATTAAGATTAATTAGTATACTTGCATTATTATGGTGGTTTCTGTTTAATTGTCACCTTAGTAATTGAGAGTAGAGGTCATTGAGGTTGATGGTGCAGTAAACCAAGTGCTTCTCTAGCATCTGTCTGAGTCAATACAATACTTTCGTTTTCTCTAGAGTCTTCATTTGGTTCCAGTTTAGTAATAACTACTTGATGATGTTCTACATGTGGTGAAGACGGACTTTGTTGTTGTTGTCCTACAGCTTCAATAATCATCTCTTGTTGAGCTATATTTGGACTATTTGGTTGTTGTTGCTGTTGCTGCTGCTGCTGTTGTTGTTGTTGTTGTTGTTGTTGCTGCTGCTGCTGCTGCTGCTGCTGTTGTTGTTGTTGTATTTGTTGCTGCTGCTGTTGAATTTGTTGCTGTTGCAATATAATTAATTCTTGTTCAGTAAGTTTTTGGTTTCCTTTGGTAATGACAATTTGATGATCATTAGGAGGGGTAGGGGTGTGTCTTCCACTAGCAACAGCATCAATAATCATTTCTTGATGAGCCAGATTAATGATTGGTGTAGAATGAGCTTGATTTTGAATCAACTCTGGGACAGACAATTTTTGGCGATCAGATACTGTTACTTGTTCAGCTAATTGTTGAAGCGCAGCATGCTCTTCTTTTAGACGTTTGGTAATATGACTTTGAGTGTGCTTTCTTAAATGATCTCGTCTATAAAAACCTTTACCACAATCCTGACATACTTCAGTCTTTACACCTGAATGGATTACAGCATGCAAATTTAAATGTTCTTTTCTCTTGAAACCTAAATTGTATAATTTAATATGATTAATATAAATATAATAAAAAAGTGGTCTTAGATATTACAAAATGAAAAAAAAATTAAGATTTACCTTTACAACACACATTACACACAAAAGGACGTTCTGGATTATGACCTAATTTATGCCGTTCTAAATGTTCTTTACGTTTAAGTCCAGCACCACAAAGATCACAAATAAATCTTCTTTCTATTTTATGAGCAACTAAATGTTGTTCAAGCATTTCTTTATCTGGGTAAGCCATACTACATTCTGGACAACAAAACAAAAGAGTACCATCTAAGGCAGTAGCAATATGTATTTGCCCAGGTCGAGGTTTTCGAGCAGCTGGTGGTTTCTTTTTGTATTTTTTTTTCCTTTTACCCTTTTCCTAAAAGTTGACAAATCATTTTAACATATTTATTAAATACAATAAATACAAATCTATATTTAAATTAGTAAATTAAAATTAATAGGAAATAAATTATTATATTTATTGTTAAAAATACTGTAAATATTTTACTAAACTAGTTAAAACCAAATATATTAATATGTATATTATATGCAATAATATATAACCAGTTGTATTATTCCAAAAAAAAACTTGAGAGTACTATAGATTAGACTAGTGGTTCCCATTTGATGGTCTACGGTTGATTTAAGGGGTTCCGCAGTAATGTAATACTGTAATGATTTTTTTATTTTATTTTAGTGAAATATATATTATATATATATATAATTATATTTATAATTATAAATATATAAATATATTAACTTTGTAGTCATTTGAAATTCCGAGTATTTTTGGAATATCGAAACTGGATTATTGTGAAAAAGATAAAATCAATTTTGTATAAATATATCATCAACCTGACCCAAAAAATATGTGTATTGAAAAAATAGATAGATAAAATCTTTCTGAACAAGAACAAGATGAATTAATTGATTTTTGGTTAATTGTTTAAAATGATCAAAAGCAATTGGCCGAGAAAGCTTTAAGATATTTGATCCCTTTTTAAACAAAGTATAGATGTGAACAAGCTTTTTCTACATACTGTTACATGAAAAACAAATACTGTAATAGATTTAATAATGATGCTGAATTAAGAGTGAAAATATCAAGCATGCAGCCAAATTTAGACAAAATTATAAACAAAAAAGAAAAGTTTCACTTGTCTCATAAAGTTTGAAAATCAAAGAAATCTTTTATTGAAAATTTTTATTTTTAGAAAATGTGTGTGGTATATTACAAAAAAAATGTTAGTCAAATTAAAATAAATCATACATATTTTTATCATTTTCATAATTAAACAAAATTGAAAAGTAAGCATTTACAAAATAGGGTCCTCAGACCATTTTAAGTTATAGTTAGAGGTCCGTGGCTTCACACTAATTGGGAACCACTGGACAAGACACTTGCTGGATGTGGTATATATTTACTATGTTAATATGAAGAGTTTAACATTTGTAATTACTTAGGAATGCAGATATTCTAGGAGAATAAGAATTAATTGTTTATTTTCATTAATCAATTATTGTATAGTATAGTAAACAATTGATAGGATATAAAAAAAACTAGATAAATGTGAATACTTTATTTATATAGGATTTGTGGAAATATACTTGCAAAAATAATAATTTTAATATAAATATTCTTCTATTTATATAAGTTACATATAGAATTGTTCTAAATCAACAAGTAACATTAAATATAATACAATATATATATATATATATATATATATATATTATAAATTTTTTTTATGTGATTTATGACTGTTACTGTTAAAATCATAATAAACTTTAATACTTTAAACATGTATAATATCCTAATTGAAATAAGATAATAATTACTTGACTATTAGCATCTTCATACACAACCATTTCACTATTGCCATCTTCTTGAGTCCCAGTTGATTCCATACTCTCTCTTTTATTATTATCAGGTGAAAATTTTAAAAAGTGTCCAAGAGGAATATTATCATGATTCATTGATATATAATCAGCTAATGAAACAGAATTGCTTGTGTTAGATGAATAAGTCATCACATATTGACTGGCTGAAAAAAAATTTTAACAATTATTTTAGTTAATAATTTGACCAAGATTTACCAATATTTACCTGAATCTTGTTCATTTTGAATTCTTAATCGTTTGTCCGCCTGATTATCTTTTTGATCGCCAATTATTTTGTTATCTTGCTGATTACGCCGCACTACCATATCTTGATTTACCACAACGGCCAATGGAAATTGCATACCATTACTATCTGTGCTGCTTTGTTCGATAATTACTGGTTTAACATCTTGTATCATCTCCTATACATACAAATATATATATAAAAGCAAAATGCAAATAAAAATTGATTATTTATTAATTACTTGGTCTTCTTGAACTTCTTGCAATAAGTCAGATGATTGCATGGAATCATTATTATTATTATGTATTTGGTCATTTGAAACATCACCATCTTGTTGTAACTAATAAATAAATAATGTTAAATTACTATACTGCAATTCAAAATATAATAAAATGTACTTACTTGAAGTTGAATGCTTCCATTGTCTTGTTGTTGGTTATATGCTAACTGTAACACAGGTCCAAAAACTGGCAATAGTTTATCTCCAGATATACCACCTTGACCAACAACTTGAATTTGTATAGTTTGGCTTTGTTCACCAGGCTTTGAACCAGGAACAGTTATGGGAATAGTAAATATCTAAATAAAGAAATGTAATTATTGTAACATTAGAACTATGTATAATATGCAGAATAAATTAGATTTTTTTAGACTATCCCTTATTAGTCTTGAATATACTATGCTTGGTTAGATATTTACATTTAAATCCAAACAATATGAACATAACAATCTTTATCAATGATTATATTATTAATACAAAATATGAATATATTTAAATTACTTGTCCTTGTTGGTTAGAAGATCCAACACCAGCTAAATTAACAGCAAAACCATTTGAATCAAGTGGTCTTAAGTAAGTAACGCCAGCTTCATCACTGTTTAATAATGCAACAACTTGTCCGCTTGTATTAGAAGTATTAACTACTGTATTAGTATTTACTGTAGCTGTCTGTTGTTGGACATTGGTAAATTTATTGCCCGCATTCACCTGAGTCATATTTGCACTTGAACAGGGGTTGAATGAAGTTGCCGGCGCAGCGGTCACAAATGTAGGATAACTTCCTGTATTCATACTTTAATCTACAAAATAAAACATTAAGTCATAATACATGCAAAATAATAAATTTTATTATAAAATTAGCTACAAATTAAGAATAACTTAAAGAAAATATTAAACTAAATTAAAGTCATGTATGAAAAACTAATTACAGATATATTAATAAAATACTAATTAAATATGTTCATAGTATTTACCATGATATATTTAAATATTTTTTCATAAAATACAAACTAAACTATTATTTTTAAGTAAAATTTTATGATAATATGTAATATAAGTAAGGTATGATCTTAATTATATTCTTTATATATATTATTTTTTATATTCTCTAGTTATCCTTATCAATTTTATTTAAAAAAATAAATAGATATGTGTGTTGGTATATTTTAAATTTGATAACAAATACGTAATTTATTTTATTTTTAAAGACATTTAACTGATTTAACAAATATAACTAAACTAGGTGCATATATTTTTAATATTTATACAGCTTAAATACATTTACTTACTTAATAGAAACATAAATCAAAAAATAATTAGAAATTCTAAGGACTATTAAATCATTATATAATGTGGTAGATAATTGAAATGATTTAAAGGAAATTATTTTTCTTCAAAATATAAATAAAGTTTTATTCAAATGTTTACAATATAATTAAATAGTAGTTAATTTGTAAATAATGTAGATCATAAATAACAATCACTTTTATTTTTTCTTGGCATTTATTTAATCTAAAAATGCTTACATATGCTATTCAAAATAGATTATAAGAGTATTAGTATTATTTTAAATAATACTATTAATATGATATTCATTTTATATCTTGAACACATAAAATAACACAATTGTGCATATAAAAGTATAACATTATAATAATATAAATTTTGAGATATTTTCATATTTATTTGTTTCGACAAGTTATTTATAAATATATATTAATCAAGGCTTGAATAATACAAAAATTTAACGGTTTATTAACCTATACTGGATAATTCATGGATAACTAGGTTTACATTTATCTTAGAAACTACTTTATAATTCAGAATATTTTAAATTGTAAATGCACATTTTCAGAGCACAAATTGTTACTGCCATGATTAGAATATTACATTTTAAGTAAAATTAAAATGCTAATATATGATAAATGATGATGTCTTAATTAAATAGTTTTTATATTATATTAAAATAATTTCTCAAGATGATTTAAAAAATTAAATAAGATTTTAAAGATTCAATTCAAAATATTACATTTTTATTTAAGTTAATATTTTAATTATTTCTAACTCATCATCTAATTTAATTTTATAATAAAACCTTAGTTGATACATACATATTTGTTAAAAACTAAAAATAATTTTATAAAATAGTGACATAAAACTACTAGTATTATTTAATCAATATTTAGAGAATTTTACGAAGGTCACTTGGTTATCCAGTTATTACATTTTATCTCAAATAGGTTATTGACGCAATGCTTATCCAATAAAAATCCTATCAGAATAAAATTTAATTTAATTTTATAACAAAAGCAGCTCAACTGGAAAAATTAAAAGAACTCAAAACTCAGATGTAATAATAACTGAAATATATATTACAATCAAAATTAATTGAACTCAAATTTTTAAAGATAACAATTATTGTACAAACCATTTTTAATAACCCTATAGCAGCTTTGTTTTTATCTTGAAATGTTTTTCTTTATGTGTTATAAAAATTGCTAGAGTTATATTTTCAGTTAATTTAAAAAAAACAAGAATATCATTAAATCGTAATTTTATTTCTTACTAGAAATTTTTATCATATGTTTGTGTTCATTTTAAAGAATGATTATATAAAATCAGAGTCAGAGTTATAAAAAATATTGATAACAATTTTAATGGGCACTGCAAATACCTATACCTGTATTAGAAATGTATAACAAAGAAATTTAAAAAAATTTATCATCTTTGAAATATATAATATTGGAGAAATGTCTGAATCAGTATATTATAAAATGGTAAAATAATAAATTGTTTAATGTATTTTGGATCAGAGACATGAAATAATTTCAACAGTTAATAAGAATTAAAATAAATTTGATAAAGTTTGAATAAAACTATTAAATTAAACAATAGTTATATTACTATGAAATAAAAATTTGTATAAAAGTTATGTGACACTTGGTTATAAGTAAACAAAACTAAGAACTGTAGAACTTAATTTGATTTATAAAACTGAAGAAAATGCAAATTAAACCAATGGTAATATGTACTACACATACAGTGATTGCAATTGATAATAAACGTACCATTAGGAGGCAAGTGTTAATTGGCTTAGATGATCACACGAATCTATGTGCACCATTTTCAGAAGTAGACAAAATGTATATTAATATAAAAAAAAAGACGTTGCTGGATAGATAATCCGGATGATGCGTGTCAAAGCAGACACTACCTTTTGTTTTAAACTGGATGTTATGTTATTCACTTCTCCTTTACGTCAATTAAATAAAAAAAAAAAAAAGAGATAAACCGTTAACATGAATTACTAAGAAAAACTTAAAAACAGTCAACAAGTTTGTCTCGAATTGTCAGCAAACGTTTCGAAAAATGCACACGCATCGGAATGCGTCTTAAAAAGTAAATCACACGCAGGCATGCACACACACAAAAAACTCAAATACAAGCACACACGCACACACAAGCGCGATATAGACGGTCACAAACCGTATACGCTTTCACTTTCTATCCAATCGCGTATATACTATATAATGAAGAAAAAAATTGTATTATTCTAAAGAACCAGGATGTGACAAGACCTACTTAATGTCTAAATATTATAAATTGACCATGTATGCGGCGCCATGTAGGTACTTTCTCAAGACGGTACCAACAGATAAATAAATACATGTATGAAAATCTAATAAGCTCGGTTAATATTATTTTAAAATTACACAGCAGAGGAGGCAAGCCAAAGAGCCCGTAGTCGAACTCACGGGCGGCGCTAATTAACAGCATTTCAGTGCAAGGTTTAGTTGCGTGACATGTTATCTGAACGACGGACGAGATAAAAAAAAAAAATTCGAATAATGGAAAGAACGTAAGCGATAATTAGATCATTAAACCAGATCGTCAACTCAAGTTCAACAGTGGTACGAACAGTGGTCGTCGTCAACGTAGACCGTAAGTGCGAGTGGAGTACCGTTATCGCGGGAAGAACATGACGCGTGTGAGGAAAAAAAAAATAAAACACGAAATAAAACAGTGGAAAAAATGCTCCTAGGAGAGGGACAACACGTCGGTGGTGGCGGGCGGGCGGCGACACACCACCGTTGACCCAAGTCGGGATGAAAACACACGCACACACACACACACAACGTACGTACATGTGCGCCACGTAAAGGTAGGGGCAGAGCCATTTTGGAGAGAAGGCCCTGTACGGCGGAGTACGGGCGAACATAAGCGGGGACGACGCGATGACACGGTACGGCACCGCAGCAACGACGAAAACTCGACTCGTATACTCACCACGCTCAGACGTCAGCTTTCGGTGGCCCCGATTCGACGTCTTTCGTACGGCCCGCGGCGGCTCGGGCTTTTCCGGCGCGAGAATTTGATTTTATCAATTTTTTTTTTCCGCTATTCGCTGATCGTGAATTTTCCTAATAACTAACTACTTTTCCTAATTTTTATTCTTCCGTGGAAATAAAGCCAAAAACAATACGGGTGGTTTGTAAAAAAAAAAAAAAAAAACAAATCAAAGCACAACGCACCGACACTACATAACTCGCCCGCGCTCTCCGTTGTTGATGCTCTGCTCGGTTCCCGTCGACGTGAACACGGCCGCCAGTTAAAAACTACGGAATACCTTTCGCCATCCACGTACACGCCATTGCCGACGAATGTTTTCACCGAGCACCTCAGTGCCGCCACATCGGATCGCCATTAGTTCTCTACGTACGGTAATACCGTGTGACCTTGGAGCGGCCAACGTACTTGTTGCGTCCAAAACGGGCGCTTATCATCGAGTACCGAATGTCGTTGGTCACACTGTATTTACCGTTACGCTTTATTGGAATTGGAAAGGCGCAATCCCGGTCACATATAACAGCTGCTGGCTGTCTTCGGTTCCGCTTGTATTATTTTAACTTTTTTTTCTTCAACGATTTATTTGTCTAAACACGCACTGTTCAATATCGTCATCTCATACCGAAATCGGTACACCAACTATATACGTTACCATGGCGTATTAATAATAATGATGATGATGATAATAAAACGAAGGGAGAAAATAAAAGGTGACGATTTTTCATCAGATGGGAAAGAAATGGAGGGAAAGACGCAGAAAATATAAACATTTGTTTTTTTTATTAATAACACTCGAACTAAATAATTTATAAATTTAATGTCTCAACAAAATAAAGTAAATAGTAATCTTACACTTACATGTGTGCTAAAAAGTATTGCGTTGACTATATTTTTACTTTATACAATTTGAATCTATTATATGATATAAATGACTAACAACATCATGTTTATTACAATACTTTAAAAAATATTTGTGCTTGTTGGAACTGCTTAGGGTAACAAACAATAGGTTACAAATTCATGGTGGGGCAAGGTCTCCCTCAGGTCCAATGAATCAAGACACCTAAAACAATTCTATACCTATTTATATTATACATTTGCATTGGTGCAAATTATTATATATATAATTACATAAATAATTTTTATTTATTATAGAAGAGGACCAAATGAAAAAATAATTATTTTCTGAATGAAAAATACCATTGAAAATTTATATTATATAAATAAACAATAAAATGTACAAGATGTTTAAAAAAATCAAACATTAAAATGTTTGTTTACACTTTAACCCAACAAATTGAGACCAAAACTTTTTCAATTTAATTTTAATACCAATGTAAACTAAATCTTTCTAAACACAAATGGTAACACATTTTATTAAGTAGACAAAAAACTTATTTTATAAAAATAATTATATTTTTTTGCACAATATAAAATGTCTAATCACATAATAATTAAAATTGAATTTTATAACAGAAAATTCTCAAATAAATTAAACCGAAAAGTTTTTGTCCCAAAACAGGTTAAAATTTATGGCAATTTATTTTAATTTGATAACATACATAATCAACAAAAAAAATAATAACAAATAAAAAATAAAGATTGAAATTTAATTGCACTTTAAAAAGAAATAATTTCCCTATAAACCAAAAAGGAACTGCGAAGATAATTTAAATTGAATTAATTTTTACAATAGATATGTTATTACGGTAATGTACAAGGAACATGATTAGACAAAGGAAAAAATAATAATGGCTGTCATCATATTAAATGTAGGACTACCTTGTAACTTTTTTTTTTAAAATTTAATAATTATGTTATATATATATATACATACAAACATACATGTGTATATGTATATAATTAAAACAGTCATAAATAATGGTTAGCAAAAATACAACATTCTTACACGTACATTCTATCATTGATTGTAGCATTAGCATTGTAACTAATTATTATATAATAATATACTGCCTATAATTCTGCTCAAGCAAAAATAAAATATTACTTAACTGATAGAGTAACTAAATATTTTACAGAATGAAAAACCTAATTTGATTTAAGCTAGATAATTCAAAATTAATTAAAAAGAACAATTTATTACATTAACAATAATTTTTTAGCCCACTTAATATTTATACATAATCATATGTACAGAAAAAAAAACATATTAGGAAAAGACCTATTTAAATATTATAACAATAATTTTTTTTAATTTTAATATGCAATTTACCTTAAGGGACGCCATTTATTTCTTGTTGAAAATAATTTAATTTGGCACGCTTAGCTTGTGGTTCTTGAAAATTATCAGAATAATTAGTATCTGGTTCTTTAGATTCATCAAAATGATTTTCTCCAGCTACTTCTTCCTCCTCTTCAACCTCATCAACAACTTGTTGTTGGCTTCCATTTTCAATTCCATTTTCAGAAGATTCATCTTGCTTAAATACTTTAGACTATAAAAGATAGTCGAAATTAGATAAATAAAAATTAACTTAACTAATCAAAAAAAAAAAAAAATTACTAACAGTAATTTCAAAAAGATGTATTGCTTTTTTTTCAAATAAAAAAAATTGTTAAAATATTTTACCTGATCAATATTTTCCTCAATTGTCTTTTGAGTATCATCAATAATTTCTTCACGAATATCTTGAACTCCAAATTCACCAGATTCTATTTCTATACCTTGTGTAGGATTGTTTTGAGATATATCCTCATCTACATCATTTGTTTCTACTTGCTTATGATGGTTAACTGCTTTTTCAATATTTAATGAATGATTTAACTTAGAACTAAAATAACAAAATAAAATAATTGTATATTAGTGATTCAAAATATTTAGTCTTATTACTTACGCATCAAAAGTTTGATCTAATGTTTGTACAATCACAGGAGCTTGTGGTAACAAAGATTCTTTGAGTGGTGGAGGAAAGGTAATGAAGTTTAAGTTAGTTTTAGTTGTACTTCCTGTGAAAAGAATTTTTATTTATATTTTATATTTTTTTGATAATTTTCTTAATAATCAAGGATATTTTATAGTCAAATTATTTTTTAAGAAAAAAAAATTCTAATAATAGAACTTATGTATTTATGTGTTATATATATCAAATATTAATTAAAACATATATTCATTATATTAATACTATTCTATTATAAATAACTATGTTTACCGGGTTGAGATGATGGAAGTCCATTGTTCACTATTGTTATGTGTCTAGTTGTAGATTTACTATATGTTGTCACTGGCAAGACTAGTCGAGACTTCAAAAATGTCAATTGCTGAGGACTTTGCATTTCAGAAGCTTCATTGTTAGCTAGAAAAAAAAAATTTCACAAATAAGACATTATAATATGTTGCATAAAATAATAAACATACTGGAATTCATTTGAATGTTCAAATAAGTTAAAAATTATAAATTAATTAATCACATCCTAAATAACATACAGGTGATATTTAAAAGAATAAATTAATCAAAATACTTAGGAAATATATATATATATAAAAAAAAAAAGACTTGAAATCTAAAATGAAATAAATAATATATCCTTAATAATATATAATTTCAAAATCGATTTCTTAAATAAAAAATAATTGTAATAAATATAATTACATTTAAAATTACCCAAATGAATCTCTACATCAAAAACAATAATAATAAAATACAATTTACTATGAAAGATATTTCTTTTTAAGTTACCTGTTGATGATACATAATGAAGAACACCATTTGTATGAGAAATTTTATTTGGTGATTTAGTTTGATTTGGGATGGAATTTGTCAAACAAACTTCATCTGGTTGTTGGTCTGAAGAAGAAACTGGAGGCGATGGTGAAGTTTCTCTTGATAATGAATCGGCAATTGACAATTCACCACCAGCAATATGACTTGGTGATGGAGGAGCACTTCTAAAACAAATAGTAATATAAGTTTTAATAATATAATATGTTTGTATGAAATATTATTTATCATAATTATTTGTTTAATTACCTTGAAGACATTCCAAATGAATTATGAAGTCTAAAACTAGGGACTCCTCTAATACGTCTACGTCGAAAAGCTTGCTCAATTAATTTTTGTTCAGAGGAAGGATCAATTCTCCAAAAAGCACCTTTACCAGGTTCTTCTTGAGACCGTGGTACCTACATAATACAAATACATAATTATTTTAACTATATTTAAAAATAAATATTAAAATTAATTACAAAGAATTTACTAAGTCTAGGGATTATAAATTGTAGAAATTTAATAATATTATCATATTAATTACTTTTTTTTTTACTTTAATTTAAGTTTAATTACATAATATATTGTACCATGATTTACATTAAAAATGATATTACAAAACAAACTATTTTAAGCAAATTAAATATTTAAATTTACCTTAATAAAATAACGATTCAATGATAAGTTATGCCTTATAGAGTTTTGCCAGCCTTTATCCACAAAACGATAATATGGATAATTTTTGGTAATATATGAATAAATTCCACTTAATGTAAGTTGACGATCAGGAGCAGAAGCAACGGCTTGTACTATGAGTTGAGCATAAGAATAAGGTGGTTTAGACTCATCTTTAGACTTTGCATTATTAGAATTGCTATTATTATTATTTATAGGAGTTGATCTATCTTGAATCACAGTTTCAGGAGGACTATAATTTTGTCCTGTAGAAGTTGATGTACCATTTCTATAAAAATCACCAACATATTGTTCACTACCAATACTAACATCAAAAACTGTATTGTCTAATGGGCTAGTTTCTTCATCTCGACTATTCTGACTAGACATTATTAGATGTTTACTGAGCAAATAAAAATAAAATAAATATTAATATAACATTAAAAAATTCTTAAACTAATTCATAAAATAAAAAAATAATACATTTCAAAATTATAATAGATATTCATATCTTACTTTTCTTCTACATAAATAGCAGATGATGTAGGTGCAGCTATTACCCCTATTTGACCAGGATTAGCTACAGCAGCTGCATATGCAGCCATTTGTAAATCTGGTCCAAGCGTATGTCTATTATGTCCACCTCTAGGACTAGTTGGACATGAATTAGCAGCACTAGGTAAAAAAAAAATGACAACTTTTATTTAATCACTATTCTTTATATTAGAACTATATAACTATATGAAATAAGTTAAATTCTTTTTAAATAAATATTCTCAATTCAAATTTACTTAATGATACAAAATATACAGGGTTATTCAAAATAATTCATCCGATTTCAAACAGCTATAAAATGATAATTATAAATTGTATCTTATCAAATTATATACCACTTAATAGAGGGTATACCCAAGTTTTAGAATGTCATTAATTGTTTTACAATTATTGCTTTTAAGTGATAAGTTATTTTGTGGAAATATGTCGACCGAACAGCAGAAAGCGTTTTGTGTGTTGCGATTTTCAAAATGTGAATCGATAATAACCGTGCAACATGATTTTCACTATTGTTATGGGATTGATGCACAGACTTCTCAGAGCATACGTTGATGGTATAAGCAGTTTGAAGAAACAGGGAGTTTGGGCAAAAGAAAAAACACAGACCGACTTCGCGTATCCGTGTATTTCTTGGAATCAATTACAAAAGATATGCTATAAGAAGTATAAAATGAAATTGACTATCAACAAGATGTTGTTTGTGTGATCAGAGGAACTCATATAGAACATTTATAGGTAAAATTAATTAAACTTGACATATTTCTATTTTACTTAATGTATAACATATTGTTGTAAGACTAAAAAATAAAATTATCTAAGCATTAGAAATCAGATGAATCATTTTGAATAACCTTGTATATTTAAGTATAATATCCAAGGTGTTACACGAAAATTTACAAATTGTTATAACTCCCGTGTTAATTAAAATAATCAAACTAAATTCATTTTTATTTAACAAACAAGTTTTATATTCTGTAACATAAACAAATAAATATAATTTTAAAAAAAATTAACATACTTTATAACTTTTTATTACGTTAATTTCATATACATTCAGATTTTTTGAAAATGTTGGTAGTTTCATATCACAAATTTTATGATTTTTAATATTATTTTCTCTACTTATAGAAAAATTCCACTTTTTTTAAATTTAATTTGTGCATGACACAAATTTAAATTCTCAATTTGCCTTTCTCTCAACTATTTAGGGTCACCACCCATGTCCCAAACCTCTACTCGTCTTGATTTTCTACATACCTTACGCACACACGGATAGCTCTCATATCATTTTCATTCATATCCAATCATCTCTTATTTGATCTTTCTCTTCCTTGTTTCCTATTAACATTCATTTTCATAACCATTCTTACTACTTTTGTTTCATCTCGCCTCATCACATGCCCAAAACATTTGTCTATTTTTTCTCATCTTGTCCACTATCGACGCTAAACCAATACTACATCTCACATATTTGTTCCTTATTCTATCTTTTCTTGTTACACCACTCATCCATCTAAGCATCCTCATTTCCACAACACTCATACTCTGCTATATTTTTTATCAACCACCCAACACTCTCAATCATATTGCAATAGTTGGTGGTCTAACTACACTTTTGTAAAATTTACCTATTAGCTTCATTGGAATTCTCTTATCACATAAAACTTCTGAAGCTTCTCTCCATTTCATCCAACTGCACTTAATCCTATGTTTTAAATTCATGTAAAAGTCTCTGTCCTTTTGTAAAAATGATTCTAAATATTTAAATTTCTCGACTTCATCCATTACATCACCAATTATTATCATTAGTTTCCTCATACCCTCAACTCCTCGGTATCTTTCTCTCAAGTCAAATCTATATACTCTGTTTTATTCCTACTAATTCTCAATCCCTTTCCTTTAAGAACTATCTTTTACTCATCTAACTTATTATTAACTTCTTCCAGATTTTCTCCTACCAAAACTATATCACTAGCAAACACCATTAAAATTAATATTAAGCATATTAATAATAATAATAAAAAAAAATTAATATTATAACTTTTTTGAAATTAATAATTAAGTAAAGTTATCAATTTTGATATTATAAGCCCAATAAAATCTTTAAATTATACAAAATAATAACATAGAGATTATTTTTCTACTCATTTATTTAAAATATATTCATCAACGTATCACCATTTTTTTTTTTTTTTTTATAAATATTTATTAAATCATATTTGCAAATACATGATAAGTAAATCCAATGAACACATCCTGCAATTACTCATATATACACACATAAATTAATACAATACACAATTTCATTTTCATAAAATTTACCTTAATGTGCCAGTAGGAGAAGGGAAAGGACTAATAAATCTATTTTCCTTTGATAAAAATGTTGATTCTTGTTTGATAACTTGAGGAGGAATATTTATACTCAAAGGACTTGCATAACTTCTTGAAGGTGTTGCTATTGGTCTAGTTTGAGTTTGAATTAATGTATTCTGGAGCACTGGAGGTGGTGCCATTTCATCTATCAGTGAATAAAACACTAACCGAATTGTAGTGCTAGGAAACCGCATAAGACACCTAAAAAAAAATATATATAAATTTTAATAGGCAATTCAAAGTTATATAGATGTAATAAAAAAAAAAATTGTGGTTGTATATTATAACTAAAAAATATACTGTAAAGAAATAAATAGTTAAATTTAGGTATATTACATTAAGTTATTTAATAAACAAGATAAAATTGGTTATCAATTTAATTTGACCAAACATTTCAACAATCTATTGTTATACAAAATTAATCTTTTTTATGATATTTATTTCAGTTGTACATTTTAATAGGAATTTTTTATAATAATTTTTATACTAAGTAATCAATCGAACATTATAGACAAATTAAATGATAACTAAGATTGTTTATCATTTTCAAGAAATTATATGTTGTGGGACATTATATATCCAAATAATAATTTCTGTTATCTTCAGATTCGTATTAAAAATTAAAAATTAATAAAAAGTGAAATAATTATTAATGCCAGTATGTTACTAATTAAATTCTTTCAGAAATTTGTTTGTATAATTGATTGTATAAAATTATTTTAATAATAATGAACTAGTTACAATTAGTATTTTTATCTATTACATTAATGACATAATAAATAATTCAGCTTACATATAGTAAAATATAATAAAATTGAAAAAAAATTAACATTTGTCTACTTATTTATATAAGACAGTAAAAATAAATAAGAACAATGTTTTATATTTAACTGATACAATAATTTTAATAAATAAGAATATTTTTAGAAAATAGGTAAAAATGAGAAAATGATATTTATTTAACAAAATGATTCAAACTATACATATATAAAAACGTTTATATGAACCTTTCATTTATAAACCTGAAGTAAATTAGAAGTTTGTTTGAGAAGAGGGGAAAAAAAATAGGAATATTTATGAGTGATAAATATGTACAACGAAGAATTGACTGTAGTTGGATGATAATTCTGCCACTGTATATCAATATTTTATTATTTAAATATGATTTTAACATCAGAGTTTAATTAAGATATCTAATTTACATATACTTAGTATTACTAATGTACTAAACGAGTACTAAACAAGAGAGGTTTTCAGATGGAATAGAAATACCTATGTTCATGGATTAGCATGTAAAACAAGCATAGCGAACAGGCGATTGTGTTGGTAAATGCTTTAAGTAATAGAATGAAATCAATGGATCAGATGGAAATGAATAAGCCAAAGAGCCGTGGCAGGGAACAAGTGTCGGAACACCAGGTAATGATCGGCAACAGTTTCAAGCTCGATCAGAACACCGAAAAAAATGTGAGGCTACGAGCACGGGACTCAACGGATGAAGTGTCAGTTACAAGCACACCGTCGTCACTCGGGCCGGAAAATATCGCGGCGATAAAATTTTCAATGCGCACCTCTCGTGCGCGCGCTGTGCGTGTAACAATCGACTATTTCGAACTTTGGCAACAGGGAGACCTTGAAAACCCGTTACACACGCAAACACTCGCGCGCAGCCATTTATAACCAAACAACAAAAACACGTTATCATCGACGGTTCGTAGCATCGCGTTAGCGGTGCGTGGCGTTTATCAGGTTATTTGGAAAACAAAAATATTGTTTGTGTGTAAACAGACATGCAAACACACACACACACACACACACACACACACACACACACACGCACACACATAAACTCAAGGCGTCGGGCCGGATCAAATAGGACGGGGCGGGAGCACGTCATGCGATTTTCAAAGAAGCCTGTGGGTATCAGCGGCGACTTTTAGGGCCTTGCGTACATGCGCCATCCGGGGAGGTTGCGGGGGAGTCGTACCTTTTGGGCAACTGTAAGGCCGGAGCGCCTTTGCGCTGGAACACACCGTCCACGAACACGCCGTTTTTGCCGTGGCACGTCAGAAAGAAATTCGGGTGCTCGTATACCACTTCCAGATGACGTCTGGATATAAAGCTGGAATGGCCCATGTTGACGTCCACCTGACCCTTAGAGCTGTTCCGGCCAATGACGATGCGCTTCTGCCGGATCAGGAACTCAAGCTCGCGGCCCTCAAGCTTGGCGATCACGCCCGTCACGTCTTGGTCCGGTGCCCATTGCACGTTGGTTGGACTGCCGGGCATTGATTTGAGCGCGTGCAACGTCCAATCCGTGTCGGACATGGTCCTCGTGTGCGGCGGCGGCGACGTTGGTTAGCAGAACTTCTCGCGTGCACGGTCGGCGGTTGTCCACGCCGTGTGCGACTACTCGCAATAGGCGGCTCGATTGCGAGCACGAACGCGTGTTATTTTCCTTTCGCGTGAAGTTAATACGCGCAAGACGGAGACGAACGCGAATCGACGAGGCAGTGCGCACACACGCACTCTGAGAACACGACAGGTACCGTCCGCACAACAGACCGACGGTGAGAGACGGTGCGCGAAACGGAGAGTGCCGTTGTTGGTTTTTTTTTTTGTCCAACTCGAAAAGACAGCGGAAAGCGATACGAACGACGGAAAACCAAAGTATGCGATGCGAGTGTGCGTATGCGTACGTACGCGCAGGGGGGGGCGGCGGCGGCGGCGGCGGCGGCGGCGGTGAGCCGTTTGTTTACCAGCAGATGACCGGACCGGCGGCCTCGGGTGGAGGGTGTGTACCACGTGACGATCGAACTACTGCTACTGCTAGTGCTGCTCACGGGTGGTGGTGGCGTTGATGTCGTCGTCGTACATCGGACACGCGTCAAGCTGACGACGGAAAACCACGACGGCGGCGCGACGCGCGCGCCGGTTTATGATTATTATTATTATTTTTTTTTCTCCACTTATCTCGTCACCGACGTTTTGGGGTTATGGCTCGTGATATGCGGCAATCAGCGTGCCGTCGTCGTTCTTGAGCAATTCGTGTGGTCCGCGGTCGAAGAACCGTGTGCACTGCTCGGAAGTCAACGGCGTCCTCTCACCGTGCGACGGTGAATAAACAAAACGACAGTAAATAGTATAATCGGACGGTGGAAAAAATTTCGGCTATCGTGCACGAGACGTCGGCAGTCTATGTTCGCGTGGTGATGCGACGAAATTTCGCGGTTCCCGGGCACGACGGCGTAGACGTACTGTTAATGGGGAGATGATTAATGAGAAAAAAAAATTTAATACGAAAACAATAATAAATTAATTTAAAAACACGATGCGTGCGCACGTGTGTGTACACTGTCCAGTGTCGTATGCTTGAGTGTAAGTATGTGTGTGTGTGTGTGTGTGTGTATGAGCGTATCAGTGGACTAATATCCTTAGGCTATAATATGCATAGTACACCACCCAAACATATGTATATAAAATTAATAATAATAATAACAGTGTGTAATGACGGCAGTAGCAGCAGCTATCGGACACACACGCACGCGTATGCGATCGTATATTTGTACATGAATATGTGTGTGCGTTCCGGCACAAAACAAAAAACAGCTGACTACCCCGCTGCCCGCCGCCGTGGCGGAAGACCTCTATTTTTTTTTATCAGGATGGTGTAAACACGTCAAACACGTTGTAAAGTCACTTGTCCAAAGAGGTTGGAAAATGCCAATGATTGCATGTGCACACAAACTAAACGAAATATTTATTTTGATTATTATTATTATTTTTATCTGTTTTGACAACCATGACGTCTTAGTGTCGCTCATTGTTAATGTTATTCGCTTGTACGACTTCGAAACTCGTTTCTATTATTATTATTTGTCTTTCTCTTCCCCTCCTCGCCGTCTGACCCTGTATTCCGTCCAGCGACTCGTCCCGTTCAACGAAACTCAACTATTATTATTTATTTTTCATTATTATTATTATCACTTGTTGTTATTGTTATTGCGTCGTTGGTATTTTATTCGAGCCTGTCGCTTTCTCTCTCTCTCTCTCTCACACACACACACACACACACACACACACACACGCTTAAAATGAAAATAAACATTTGCCGTTTATACGACCCGACTCGAAGACCCGTGCGTGTGTGCGTTTTTGTAATACTACGCGTGCGCGAGCTCCGGTGTGCAGAAATATTACCGCGGCCACGAATGACTACTAAATTTATACTTATTCAATGGGATGATGGGGGAGGGGGTACTCGTACTGTCAGAGTCTAAACAACAACGTAATTAACATGTTGAGTGCTGAACGTCGAAATTAGTCGAAGCTTTCAGAACTCGCAGCATTAAGATATCGTTTATTGTATAAATCATAAAATAAAATACACACTGATACGATTCCAGACGATCATTTGCCATTGAGTAACGGCCACGGGCCTCGCACGTTGGACCTCGTGTTCCTCTAGCGGCGGGTGTAGCTGTGGTTTATCATCACGGTGTATTCTATCGTGTCTAAACAATTTGTTGTTCCATAAAACCCGTTTACGCCCATTTCGTTACGTCCTCATTGCACAGCGAAGGTACGACATAACTGCTCGTCAAAATCAGCGGATATTTTCATCTTTCGCTACGGAGTAGTATAGAACTCGGTTTGCCCCCTGAAATGAACGCTGGACGACAACGACTACGTTGCAGCGGCGGGCGTGGTCTACCTAAAAGTACATCGATCAAATCCATAACCAAGTGTATAATTAAACGATAATGATTTTATTGTATACAACAATCAACCGCGTAGACGTTTATTTTTACACACAGTCGCATTCCTTAACGCGTTCGCTACAAGAAATCTCATAGATGTCGAAAATAAACAATATTAATTACAATATCGTCGGCCTATTCTCTATGCTTGCTTTACTCATGCGATATTAATTTTTAACCCGATAGGTATTTGCGTTTTGCGCGACCGAAAACCATAGGCGTAGGAATCATTTATAGATTTGGACCAATCCGGTGTTGAACACAACTCAAATTACAATATTATTGGAATTAAAAAATATGTCGAAGTCGATTACGGTCGAAATAAAACGTCAGAGTTTGAATAAATAACAATTTGAACTCCGTTTGTCAACAATCATCGTAGTCTAAAAGTTTGTCATAAAATTTGTAGATACATATTATGAACGTAGTCTAATAAACAAGATGTGTTGGTGTGGTACAGGAAAAGAAGAACAGATAAGCGAATGCATTGTACAAGGCACCCCTATGGAGATATAGTATTTTTTTGGTAAGGAAGATCCATGTCATCAGTGACCAGTTCCTTTTTAAGTGCTGGATAGTTTAACCGTAATAATACGTTAGTCATACGGCTGATCAAGGTTTTTATTTGATTCGAAATACAAAAGAAAGTGTAATACCATAAATCATTTGCAACATTTTAAAAGCGTGTGATGTATAATATATATGAAAGAGAAAAAAATATTTTCAAAAATAATCGGATATAATGGAATTACAGCCATACCGAGCTATTTTTATCCTGAGGCAGAACTGAAGCAATCCGCCCCCTAGGTTGTAGGGTTGTTACACTCACAGCTTTTAATACGATTTGGAAAAATCTGAAAAATTGTAATTAAGTTTCTAGCAAAACAAGAAATAACATTTCTTAAAATAAGTTAATTATTTAATATTTTTGCGCCCTCCAGCTTCAGGGGTCCAAAGAAAGTGCTTCGCTCGCCTCACCCTAGTTACAACTCTAAATGGAATTTTCTTGCCGACTGAAAAAGAGTAACTTTCTAAATCTGTTATCATTAATGGTTGATCGAGTTTATACTATTAAAATTTCAACTATCAGTACAATTAAGTGTGATGAAAATATTTTCTCTTGATTACGGACATCGGTTGTAAAATACATAAATTTCTAACATTGTTTATAGTATTCTACAATCAACACTTACCCGCAGTGGCGTATATAGGGGGGGGAGTTCAACCCCCCCACCCCGAAATTTATGGTTAGTACGACCCACGTGAGCATTTCTTTAATCTATGTATTAATTAAAAACAAATTGTCTAGTATGGGAAAAAAATGCTCTCTCCTAATTTTTAAGCAAATTATACGCCCAATTCTTACCTACGCTTGCCCGGTATGGGGTAATTGTGCATCCTCGCACATAGAAAAAATGCAAATTGTCCAAAACAAAGTCCTCAGAATAATTGCAAATGTTCCGTGGTTTGTTAGAAATCCAAATCTGCTATTGATACTTTGAATAAACTATCCGTTGATTTTTTTCCAAATATATGTTGCTTAATGTCAATATTAGTAACTTTACCAGTCTCAACAGCATCATCAGAAAGATCGTTTTCGATATTGAAAAGATTGAAGTCGTGTTTGAGAAATAGTACAAGGGAAAATCAACTAACAGGATTAGCTCTCATGTCAATTCATCGAAGTATTTCAATAAACACTGAAGAAGTGATAAATAATTTTGCAAATCTACCTCAAAAATTAGACTTTGTCCTGTAATTAAATTTATGTATTCTAATTTTCATAGTTATTAAAAATAAGTTAATTTATTACCTTCATTTAGTATATATTTTTTCATAACTCCCCCCCCTCCTGAAATTAATTTCTATATACGCCACTGCTTACCCGGTTTCTCACTTCGGTGCAACACTACATAAAAATTACAAGTTTTAAACAATAGGAACCTAATACGGGACGCAGTGTTCAATTGCCAATCTATAAATATAATATGTGCTGTTGGCGTCGGTGCATTAAACATTTTTAGATATTTTACTGTTCCAGAAATGTTTTCGAAAAAAATAATTGTTTCCACTAATGGATTGGTTAAGTCAAATGATAATTGATAAGTAATCCTACCGATAATGTTAATATATTATACATAGTGAATGCTAATCAAACATATTTATCATAACTGCTAAAATATAAAATAATGCATAAATTATGTTTTAATCATAAGGTTAATAATTTTAACAATTTATTCCTGTCCTGTAACTGTGTAAATTATGACTATAATTTCTATAACTTGCAGAATTAATTAAATAAACTGTTTATGAAGATTTTAGATTGTAGAGGTATTTTTGAATAACTATAAAAACCTAGGTTAATAATACCTCTCGAAATACAGTAATGAATTTCTATGTGTCTATAGATTTCGTAAATATTGAACTCCTGTTAATTCCAACTATATAATTCTTACTATAATATTTAACTATTTAATATCATTGTACAATACTGTCTTTTGTAAGTATAAGTGAGTATTTGTAAGTTGTAAGTTGTACTACATATAAATCATAAAATAAAATAAGAATATTATTTATACTGTTATAACACTCGACCATAGTACAGTGTCGGAATTACGGTAAGATACGATTACTTCAAGATCGATATTCGTTCGTGATGTTCGCAATATTTTCTTTCCGAAATATCAAGTAAAAAACAATTTTTCATTTTCATTATATAGAATACTAATCCAATATTTTCTACCCATGAGCAACCCTAATTTTATAATATAATTTATATTCTAAAATCAATATTATTACTTAGGATTGTCCACAGGTGGAAAATATTGTACGTTAAATATTAATGTTAAGTTAAAATCGACAAATTGACATGTTCTCACCGGTAGCAACACGACTAAACCCAAAACATAGGTACGAGTGACCTGAAAATCAGAACACAGATACTACTGTGAATTGACACTAATTTTACTGACCGTTTAAAGACTATACTGTCAGTAAGCCCAAATACTGTAAGTATTCATACTATCAGTAGTATTGATCGTGTGAGGACCGCTTAAAGCAACTCAACTGTTTAAAAACTATTTTTAAGCGATTCGACATGTCAGTATCTTTCCACCAGTTGCTCATGGTTATTGTATCATAGTTAATTTTAATCAGATTCAATATTGTATTTTTAAAATATTTATTAAAATAGCAAATGAAAAAGAAGAAAATGTTACTTTTGTACAATTTATATAAAGTCATATATGTATTTATAATATAAAATCATATAAAAATAAAATATAAAATATAAATATAATAATATAAATATAATAATATAATATAATAATAATATAAAATTATATATAATCAGATATAATCATATATCTTATACCCGATAAGATATAAAAAAAAAGGCATGGAATGAAATTTCAATTAAAACAAATAATTTTAGTGAGTTAATGATATGTCTTTTTTATTACGAAATAATGAATAACTAATTTAACTGATACTAGGGGCGTCATTTCAACTTTTGAAAGGGCAGGGCAACTGATTAAATTTGCCGACTTCATAATATTTAAAAATGTATTTAAATATTATAAATAAATATAAAATATTTAATATTTATAGACGATAGACTATCAATAAAATATTTTTTCGGAATAAAACAAAAAACAAAAATTCAGTTTTCAATATAGTGCCACGTAGGGTTTATTGACTCTGATTGTAAATAGCGCCACGTAGGGTTTTGAAGCCTGTCATGCAGTATTTGTTTTTGTCACCACGTAGGGTTTCCAAAA